ATACTGATTGTATTTTTATTGCACTGACTTGTTATGACATTTTGGTCTTATTTATGACTGTAGCAATGGTGTAATTTTAGGTCTACCATTGGGGGGGGTATGCTCTCTGCCTATTTATTTATTGAATCACTTACTTTTGTAAACAGATTTAGGATATTTTCTGTTCCACATCAGTTCAACAATTAAGAAAAGGCTTACCACAACAGACAGCAAGAGAGCTGAAGCTGTGTACTTAACCAGTTAGTTTCTAGTGACAATTTTAGTTGATACAGAAAATTAAACAAATTTTATTAGAGCTCTRCTTCTTATTATCGGAATGACTAAAACCTTTTTTTCACCTTATGAAGCCACATTGGATAAAAATAATCAACTYTTAATTGTTTAAACAATTTTAAAATGTGAGATTTTTTTGTGACGCTTTCTTCACGAGTTTCCAACAAACGCAGACTAAACTGACACACCCGTCTGAAGACAGGCAGAGSGTTGTGCACATCTGGACCCTCTGCTTCATGAAACACAGACTAAATGATATCATCTGAAAAAAAAAGACAAGGCTGCAATTAGCCATCCCAGATGTGAAGTGAACTTTCAGTAAAACAACTGGACTTTGATGGATCTTTAGGTTTGAAAGGAAAAGCCTTTTTGAACTTCCTTTAATTAAATCAGAAGCWGTTTTTCTGTTCTGTCTCCCTCTCTCTCTCTTTTCATTGTTGGCCGAACATCTGGGACTAAAAATTCACTGCATTCATGGAGGTCTTGCTCAGTATGTTAGGATTGGGCTTTTGTTTATTTGATTACTGTTATTATTCCTAGATTTAGTTCTGATCCGTCTGTGTTTATACCCCTCAGTTCCACCCCGCCCACTCACACCTGAACCTCCGCTCTGAGCAGCTGTTKCTTGTTCTGGTTTGTTGAGCTTGTCTTTATATTCTCTGTATTTGTTGGTTTTGGATTGTACACATAACGTGTGTCAGTTTTAGCCTCCACGAATGCTGTCTGTGAGCTGGCTGGAATGTTACWCTTTGAGTTTGAAAGCATTGATCCACTCTGACCTTGTTAAGTCTTCATGTTTTGATTCCACCTGATAAAAATATCTGGAGTGATATTTGAGGATTTTCTGGAAGCTACATTTTGCAGCCTTGCATACCTAAAACTACTGTTTTATCTGAAAGTCGTCCATGAMAATAATCTGTTTTCCCTGCAGTTAGTTTTGTTTTTACCTGAAAATGTGCACATTTCTTAGTCTGAGCACCTGATTTGCTTACTATGTTTTATTGTGAGTAAATGTGAATTTATGAAATTTGAAAACCATTGCATTCAGTTTTTATTTATATTTCATGCAATATCCCAGTGTTTTAAGTGTTGGCATTATAGGGTTTTTTCTTTAAAATGAGTTCAGGTCATGTTGCAAACTAAAGGTTTTTTTATTTATTTATTTTTTTGGCTTTTAAATCTCATAACTTCATCTCTCCTGCCTTCTTCAGGTACTGGACCTGCCAACACTTTAACTGCATCTGAGCTGAACGGGAGCAGAAATCTCTGGAGTCTGAGGCTCAGGAAATGTGTTCCTCTCATCAGCAGTGACTCAGTTGACTGAATGAATTCCAAGAAAAGGTGGAAATAAATCACTGTTTCGAGTTAATAGAGCGATCAAAACCTGGCTGAAAGAAGGAGCACARATTATTTTTCTCTGATTGAATCAGGAAGAATATGTTGTTTTTTACAACTATGTTTTTTTCAATGCTGGTTTTGACAAAAATAAAGAATAAAGAATAAACTAGAAAAGATGCATTTCCTGTAAAAACACAATGTAAATGTTTAATGCTAAAATTCTTGGTGAATAGCTAAAAAAGTTGAATGTAGCCTAAATATAACTGAAAAACAAGCTGAAATAGCTGTAATTATCACAAACAGGTGAATTTAGCTGAAAGAAGCTCAAATTAGTCAAAAAAGTATCTAAAAAACAGCTGAAATTATCAGAAAGAAGCTGAAAGAGGCATAAAAAATATTGAAATTAGCAGAAGAATAGCAGAAAAGGGTAAAATAATAGCTTAAAAGGCAGAAGAAAATTTAATTCAGCAAAATAGAAGCTGAAGGAAAGCTGAAATTAGCACAAAGGAAAAGAAAGGCAGAACAAAGGGTAAAAACTACACTAAAGATTTATGAACATTTTGAAAAGTTTTACGTGTWAAGAACAGCGCCATTCATTTTCAATGAAACATTGCAGAAAAGGCTAAATATTTCAGAAATTGCTGAAATACCAAAAGTGGGCTGAAATGTCCTGAAGGAGCTGAACATTTTGATGTATAAATTGTTGAAATAGCACAAAAAATGTGGCACAAGATACATTTGGAAGAAAAAATTATATGTTATAGAATTGGTTATAAGTAGCACTCATTTGTGATTTTTGTGTTTTGCTGTTGGAGATCAAATTTGACTTCCCCATACAAATGAAGGTAAAAACTTCTTATTTTCTTAAACAGGCAGTAAATCTACAAGAGAACAATGTGAAGCTGAGTCTTACCTCTCTGTCCTGTCACAGTTTGTGCTTTGATGCACAGAGCAAAGATCAGTCCAGCAAACCACAGCATGATTAGTAGATTTTCAGGTACAGCAGCTTTGTCTCCTCTTCCCTCGTGCTTCGGCTCAACGTTTTCCTGCTGCGAACCTTTTTCTACCAACGCTCATCACTTCCTCCCCTGCTTTATAGATGCTTCATCCCACCATCACGCCCCCCTCTTCTGATTTACTTCTCCATCCTTCCCTTCCCGCTCCAGCCTCAACTGACGGGAACAACAGGARTGTGGTTACACAACACAATAATGTTTAATGATAGTTGTTCAGTCTTCATCAGGTGAAAAGCAACAAACAAATTAAAACTAACATAACTTTTTTTAATGATCATTTTCTATTTTGTTGGGTTTTTTTTCCCCAGATGTTCAACTTTTTGATAAAATATTTAAACATTGGTTAAAAATCTTGGTTTATGCCCAATAAAGATAGTTTACTTGTCCATCCTGGTAATGTGGCTTGAATGAAATGTGTGTGTGTGTGTGTGTGTGTGTGTGTGTGTGTGTGTGTGTGTGTGTGTGTGTGTGTGTGTGTGTGTGTGT